GCTGTCTCAACCAAACACTTTCATCAATGTGACCGGGACAGAGAAGTCGGTTGATCGTCCCCATTCAAAAAATGTGCGGAAATTGGGAAGTAAAAGGCAAGATCTGAAGAATAAACTGAATTTAATCCAATGTTTTACCTCTGAATGAATGAATTGGCCAGGTTTAGGAGGCATATTTGGTCGATAAGTGTTTAAGTCAGAAATGTCGTTTATTAATATGCCGTAACATCAAGTGGTGGAACAGAAAAGGTTTGCGTCAGGGGTGGATTATCAAACCGTTAAACTGATGAGCTCAGTTCAGCGACATTACATCCAGGTGGTGTGTGTGTGTGTGTGTGTGTGTGTGTGTGTGTGTGTGTGTGTGTGTGTGTGTGTGTGTGTGTGTGTGTGTGTGTGTGTGTGTGTGTGTGTGTGTGTGTGTGTGTGTGTGTGTGTGTGTGTGTGTGTGTGTGTGTGTGTGTGTGTGTGTGTCTTGCTGCTACAGTGAAGTAGACATGTTTCACTTAGACTTATGATTACTTTAAAAAAATTGAATAATGCATACTCTTGATCCATTGGGGGTACCCCTAAGCAACCTAAAACATCAGAAACGTCATGAGACATTCTCTTATGGTTAGAGGTATACGATAATACTGAAGGAAATGGGGACGCATTATACCAGTCATCTGACATTGATGTAAGTTGGCAATACTGCCTATAAGTGAGCCTGTCCTCGTCATCTTGCAGCGCCTGGCCACGTTCAAGGTGGGTGCACACGTCTCCTCAACACGTCTGTTACGCTGACCTGGGCGTGTTTAAAAGGGAAAGTTCCATTGGGAGGGAGTTCCATTGTTGGTTCTGGTACTCTGAGGAGGTTGCCCTGCTGGAGGTAAGCATCACTGACTTGTGTGTGGTAAGCACTGGGGTATATCGAGGAGGTTGTCCTGCTGGAGGTAAGCATCACCAACTTGTGTGTAGTAAGCACTGGGGTATATCGAGGAGGTTATCCTGCTGGAGATAAGCATCGCCGACTTGTGTGTGGTAAGAACTGGGGTATATCGAGGAGGTTGTCCTGCTGGAGGTAAGCATCACTGACTTGTGTGTGGTAAGCACTGGGGTATATCGAGGAGGTTGTCCTGCTGGAGGTAAGCATCGCCGACTAAGCATGTGTGTGTGGTAAGAACTGGGGTATATCGAGGAGGTTGTCCTGCTGGAGGTAAGCATCGCCGACTTGTGTGTGGTAAGAACTGGGGTATATCGAGGAGGTTGTCCTGCTGGAGGTAAGCATCACCGACTTGTGTGTGGTAAGCACTGGGGTATATCGAGGAGGTTGTCCTGCTGGAGGTAAGCATCACCGACTTGTGTGTGGTAAGCACTGGGGTATATCGAGGAGGTTGTCCTGCTGGAGGTAAGCATCGCCGACTTGTGTGTGGTAAGCACTGGGGTATATCGAGGAGGTTGCCCTGCTGGAGGTAAGCATCGCCGACTTGTGTGTGGTAAGAACTGGGGTATATCGAGGAGGTTGTCCTGCTGGAGGTAAGCATCACCGACTTGTGTGTGGTAAGAACTGGGGTATATCGAGGAGGTTGTCCTGCTGGAGGTAAGCATCACCGACTTGTGTGTGGTAAGCACTGGGGTATATCGAGGAGGTTGTCCTGCTGGAGGTAAGCATCGCCGACTTGTGTGTGGTAAGCACTGAGGTATATCGAGGAGGTTGTCCTGCTGGAGGTAAGCATCGCCGACTTGTGTGTGGTAAGCACTGGGGTATATCGAGGAGGTTGTCCTCCTGGAGGTAAGCATCGCCGACTTGTGTGTGGTAAGAACTGGGGTATATCGAGGAGGTTGTCTTGCTGGAGGTGAGCATTGCCGACTTGTGTGTGGTAAGAACTGAGGTATATCGAGGATGTTGTCCTACTGGAGATAAGCATCACCGACTCGTCGTCCGGAACGACAAACCGTCAAGTTACAGCACTGGTAATTAATCTTTCATTGCACAATGGAGGTTCGTTCAACTTCAGTCCCGGGGCTGCCACCCCACACCCACCTGACCCACTCCTGTGTCTGTGATGAGGTGTGACGTTAACGTTACCTAGACGTTCATTCCCACGTCACGTTACACGACCACGCCTATCAAGGAAGTACACAGTGAGTCACCTGAAAAACGCCACGTCACCAGTGACAATTACTTGTTTCCACGTCGTGTACATCACCGACATGTGTTGTCAGTGTGAGGATTCCCACGGCCGGTTCAACTTGTGGTCGTCAAGTGTGGAGATTAGCTGGTGAAGATATCTACTCGTCTGACGCGCAGTCGTACTCAAGTAGCCTGGTGAAGTTCTGCAGCCGTTGCCCTTGCCTTGATCTCGACTAGGTAGAGCCTGGTTTCGGATCAATCAATGCTGTACTGTTGTGGATCTGGGTTGGCCTTAAAGGGTCAATCTTGAACACCTAGGTCTGTTGGTACCTGTCCTGTCTGGTCGTCACAGACAGGAACATTTGGTCTGACTTCCGCCAGATTCCTTCAGTTGGCGTCCTGCAACATTAGACACGTCGCTAGTTCACACGTAAACATGGAATACAATCAAGCAAATCACGAGTGTAAGATAGACAGAATGAATACGAATGACAAAGATGATAGACAACAGAAATCAATCAACCTTCCTTAAAAATGTCATAAGCAATAACACTACAGTAGCACTAGCAAAATATCACGTGCTGTTTGGTGTTATGTGTAACAGTCTAACAGGTTCTAGCATAGAAAGGTCGTCCGCAGCATGTATCCTTGTTCCAATACTAATTCAAGGAATACCGTTTCAGGAACCTCTCTGCTGTTTCAAAACTGAAATCCATTGATCTATATATGCGACGTGCACATGTTCTTCAATGTTCGGGCAATATTATAATATCTATTATTGTAAGTAATATCGTACCATGAAGTAGCAATCGCCTTCGTAACGACAGTCGTAAGGTTTATAGTCACTATCGTTGTAGCAGCAACTCTCGTCAACAGTGTCATAGCAAGTCGTAACTATCGTATTAGCAGCGACCGTCGTCAACAGTGTCATAGCAAGTCGTAACTATCATATTGGCAGCGACTGTCGTCAGCAGTATCATAGCAAGTCGTAACTATCGTAATAGCAGCGCCTGTCGTCAGCAGTATCACAGCAAGTCGTAACTATCGTAATAACAGCGACTGTCGTCAACAGTATCATAGCAAGTCGTAACTATCGTATTGGCAACGACTGTCGTCAACAGTGTCATAGCAAGTCGTAACTATCGTAATAGCAGCGACTGTCGTCAACAGTGTTATAGCAAGTAGTAACTATCGTAATAGCAGCGACTGTCGTCAACAGTGTTATAGCAAGTCGTAATTATCGCAACTTGGCATTAATTGGAAAAATAACTGTGATAAAAACTTAAGCATTATCTACACTCGTACACATATTCTCTGTATTGCCTCAACAACCTGGACGTTTGTTGATGAACTAAATTAAAAAAAAATCAAGTTTATTGGGAACTCAAAACCTGACAAAATTAAACGGGTGAAACTGACAAGAAGCCATCAGAATGGCGATGTGGGCATTGGTATGGTATGAAGTAACGATCGTAGTAACGATGAAGTAACGATGAAGTAACGATGATGTATCACGGTCGTTCTGGAGACAACTGCTGTAAGCTACTGTAGTAACGATCAAGTAACGATGATGTATTACGATCGTTCTGGGGACAACTGCTGTAAGCTACTGTAGTAACGATCAAGTAACGATGATGTATTACGATCGTTCTGGAGACAACTGCTGTAAGCTACTGTAGTAACGATCAAGTAACGATGATGTATTACGATCGTTCTTGAGACAACTGCTGTACGCTACTGTAGGAACGATGTAGTAACGATGATGTATTACGATCGTTCTGGAGACAACTGCTGCAAGCTACTGTAGTAACGATCAAGTAACGATGATGTATTACGATCGTTCTGGAGCCAACTGCTGTAAGCTACTGTAGTAACGATGATGTATTACGATCGTTCTGGAGACAACTGCTGTACGCTACTGTAGGAACGATGTAGTAACGATGATGTATTACGATCGTTCTGGAGACAACTGCTGTAAGCTACTGTAGTAACGATCAAGTAACGATGATGTATTACGATCGTTCTGGAGACAACGGCTGTAAGCTACTGTAGTAACGATCAAGTAACGATGATGTATTACGATCGTTCTGGAGACAACTGCTGTAAGCTACTGTAGTAACGATGTAGTAACGATGATGTATTACGATCGTTCTTGGGACAACTGCTGTAAGCTACTGTAGTAACGATCAAGTAACGATGATGTATTACGATCGTTCTGGAGACAACTGCTGTAAGCTACTGTAGTAACGATGTAGTAACGATGATGTATTACGATCGTTCTGGAGACAACTGCTGTAAGCTACTGTAGTAACGATCAAGTAACGATGATGTATTACGATCGTTCTGGAGACAACTGCTGTAAGCCATTTTATGTTACAGTAGTAACGATCATATTTACGGATACATTTTTGTAGAAAACGTTCATAATGATGACGTAATCAATGGGAATCGAACTTAGGGAGTTGGTGTGAGAGGCGAGAGCTGGATGACACCAAGTCTTTCTTTATACATAGGGTTCACTGTTCGATTCTCTTTCTGCAAAGACCCATGCATTTACTTACACGATGCTGATAGAGCTGTACCTTCATACACGCTATTCATGCCCCGCGTCACGTGGGTTGTAGACAAAATCTACACAAGCGTAGGAAGAATTAATTTATTTCCCACTGTTATCACATGTCTGATCAAAGGTGTTTGCACACGGCCCACGAAGCAAGATGGAGGTGGGGATCGCCACTGAGTGTAGTGTTTGAAGCTAACATCCTCGGATGTAGAACTCACGACCCCTAATCAATCATACCCCCAACCCCTCGGCTGCCCCGTGCTCTAAGCAACATGGGTGGTGCCCCGGTAAGTAGGTTCTCTCCCCCACAAAGATAAAGGGACTGTGGGTATAAAACAGAAGGGATAGAGAGAGAATTCATCTGACACCACTTTCCGATCTTCGTCAGACATTCTGATTCCAACATGCAGCAATTAGTTGTGATTTTACTGGTGCTTCCCGCAGGTAAGTCACATGTTTTGTTTGCTATGTAGGGTCTGCTGGCTATGGGCGCCCGCCATCTTAGAACATAATCGATGTATTAGTTTGTCACAGACAATGGTTCGATATGTAATTTACCGATGCTCTTTAAATACCTGAAAGTGCTTGGTGTGTCAAATGATGGACTAAACACCGCATCAGTTCAAGAGCTTTCAATGCGCCAAGTGAAAGATTAGATACGTCTCGCCAATGCAGTGGACAAACGTCTTTTTTCATAAGGTAGAGCCCCCTTCCATCCAGAATATCAAATGCTGGCCTACAAGCTTCGCCATGCTCGATATTTCATTATACCTCAGTTTACAGAGGAAGGGAAATATAGGAAGGACAAGAAAGTTTACAATTTCAACGAAACGCGAAACGGTGAATGTACGTGAACATAGATACCTGTACGTGAACATAGATACCTGTACATGAACATAGATACCTGTACGTGAACATAGATACCTTGTACGTGAACATAGATACCTGTACGTGAACATAGATACCTTGTACGTGAACATAGATATCTGTACGTGAACATAGATACCTGTACGTGATCATAGATACCTGGGCCCTGTTCCTCATAGCGATCGTAGCGCTACGTATGTCGCAAGTCTATGCTAAAATATGGGAGTTACGATAGCTTTGAGGAACGGTGCCCTGTACGTGATCATAACTATATGTAATGGAACATAGCTACCTGTGCATGAACATATCTACCTGTAGTAATAACAATATAGATTATTTGTAAGGCGCGTGACTCCACAACACTTGGTCATGCTCTAAGCGCAAGCACAAGACAGTCAGTAGCGAAGAAAAAAGAATGTCCTCAGGTGAGATTAAAACTTAAGAGAGTTACGTTGGAACAGATTTAATGTCTGTATGGAGAGAGTTCCACAGGAAAGCAGCTGAATGTTTGAAGGATCTATGACCGAAAGTTTTGAGTTTATATGGCAGCACAACAAGAAGTGATTGGTCGGCAGATCTGAGATTCCTCGGTGGGACGTAGGGTGAGACAGGGGCTTGGAGATTGAGTCGAGCAGTTCCATTTAGTGCTTGGTAGGTTAGAGTCATAATCGTGAACTGTATTCTTTTTCTGATTCTAAACCAGTGGAGGGACTTCACTGCTGGAAATGACTTGTAAGTTTTGTGCGGGTGACAATCCTGGCGGCAGTGTTCTGCAGCTTCTACAGTCTGTGAAGTTGGTCGTTGGTATTACCAATCAAGAGACTATTTCAGTAGTCTAACCGCGACAATACTAGGGATCTCATCAGTGTGGCTGTGGTGTTTCCGGGAAGGAGTTGACGGACAGAACCAACGTTCCTCAGGTGGTGGTGGCAGATCTCTGATAGGTGATTAATATGCTTGGCGCTTATTCTCGAAACGTTAGAAGCCCTAAGAATTCTTAACTTTGATCGTAGCCAATGTATGGACAGTGGGCTAATGAGTTTCGTAGGGCTACGAACATTTCGAGAATAGCTAGCATGTTCCAAGGATAGATTCTTTTCTAAAACATTTCCAGGTTTTTATACTATGAAAAACAGGAATCTCTGCGTCATCCATCTGGAGATGATCGATGCCACATTTCTGCAATCTTGATTTAGTAAAAATAATCATAAGTTCATTTTTTTGCGCTATCTAGTTGAAGCATGTTCTTAGACCCCCTTGATTTAACACTTTCACACACGACTCCATCCTGGCACAAACGTTTAGTCTGACTCTGGGGGTGACTGGTGAAGCCAGCGTAGAAATCCTGGGCAACACGATGGTCATTGATGAGAGAGCCTAGTGGTTTGGTATAAACGGTGAACAGGAGTGGCACCAGAGCAGAGCCCTGGGGTACTCCACATTTCAATGCATGAAACTGTAGCTCTATGTATCAAGCTGTAATTAACCCCATCATATTGCTACATCTCCTTGTAGCACTATGTCATACATGCATCACGCTGTACCTCTATGGTAAACGTTGTATTTCGGTGGCTCCTTAACGTGGATGCATCTGCCTGTAGCTCTGACATATTGCTATATCTCCTTGTAGCTCTATGTCTGATATCATATTGCTATATCTCCTTGTGGCTCTATGTTTGATATCATATTGCTATATCTCCTTGTGGCTCTATGTCTGATATCATATTGCTATATCTCCTTGTAGCTCTATGTCTGATATCATATTGCTATATCTCCTTTGTAGCTCTATATTGCTATATCTCCTTGTAGCTCTATGTCTGATGTCTGATATCATATTGCTACATCTCCTTGTAGCTCTATGTCTGATATCATATTGCTATATATTGCGATGTTGATATCATATTGCTATATCTCCTCTATGTCTGATATCATATATCATATATCCTTGTAGCTCTATGTCTGATATCATATTGCTATATCTCCTTGTAGCTCTATGTCTGATATCATATTGCTATATCTCCTTGTATCTCCTTGCTAGCTCTATATGTCTGATATCATATTGCTATATCTCCTTGTCTCTATGTCTGATATCATATTGCTATATCTCCTTGTAGCTCTATGTCTGATATCATATTGCTATATCTCCTTGTATCTCTGATATCATATTGCTATAGCTCTATGTCTGATATCATATTGCTATATCTCCTTGTAGCTCTATGTCTGATATCATATTGCTATATCTCCTTGTAGCTCTATGTCTGATATCATATTGCTATATCTCCTTTGCTGGCTCTATGTCTGATATCATATTGCTATATCTCCTGATATCATATTGCTATATCTCCTATGTCTGATATCATATTGCTATATCTCCTTGTAGCTCTATGTCTGATATCATATGCTATATCTCTTGTAGCTATGTCTGATGCTATATCTCCTTGTAGCTCTATGTCTGATATCATATTGCTATATCTCCTTGTAGCTCTATGTCTGATATCATATTGCTATATCTCCTTGTAGCTCTATGTCTGATATCATATTGCTATATCTCCTTTGTAGCTCTCGATGTCTGATATCATATTGCTATATATCTATGTCTGATATCATATTGTAGCTCTATGCTATGTCTGATATCATATTGCTATATCTCCTTGTAGCTCTATGTCTGATATCATATTGCTATATCTCCTTGTAGCTCTATGTCTGATATCATATTGCTATATCTCCTTGTAGCTCTATGTCTGATATCATATTGCTATATCTCCTTGTAGCTCGATGTCTGATGTCATATTGCTATATCTCCTTGTAGCTCTATGTCTGATATCATATTGCTATATCTCCTTGTAGCTCTATGTCTGATATCATATTGCTATATCTCCTTGTAGCTCTATGTCTGATATCATATTGCTATATCTCCTTTTAGCTCTATGTCTGATATCATATTGCTATATCTCCTTGTAGCTCTATGTTTGATATCATATTGCTATATCTCCTTGTAGCTCTATGTCTGATATCATATTGCTATATCTCCTTGTAGCTCTATGTCTGATATCATATTGCTATATCTCCTTTTAGCTCTATGTCTGATATCATATTGCTATATCTCCTTGTAGCTCTATGTCTGATATCATATTGCTATATCTTCTTGTAGCCCTATGTTTGAACTGTACCGGCAAGGCTGATGGCAACTACGACATCGGCTGTCGCTCCTACTCCACGTGCACTGCAGGCAGTTACCAGATTGTCAGTTGCCCTGACACCCAGGTGTACAACAGCAAGATCGGGAAGTGTGACAGGTTAGCAATCCTATACATGCGCAACAAATGTACCTAAGACATTGTGAAACACTTACAAGTTCACCACCTTAATACATTGGTCTTTTTGTGCTCATAACAGTGCCATTCCCCACCAGTGTTATTACAATTAGACGACCCAGCGGTATAACGAGGAACGTTCAAGGTGGTCTATACTCTATACTCTTATATGGTCATATGTACATCCCGCAGACCCGAGAACGTGGCGCCCCCATGTGGTGCGCAGAAAGACTGTTCCAGCAAGAAGGACGGGCACTACGCCGACATGAGCAACAACTGCATCTCCTACTTCACGTGTGCGGCGGGGGCCTTCTTCGGCCACAACCTCTGCCCAGCAGGTAACGCCAGCTCCTCACTCACAGTACTAGGATGTTACGCATAGACAGCCATCATTTCACTGATTCAATGACGTTCCCATAATTTTCCTTGTGATATTGAGAAAATATATCGCTCACAGACATATCAATTTGATACACTGACTTGTTTAGTTTTACTATGTTTTGTTTTAACTTTTAAACCTTTATCATCAATCTTATTAAACGTTATTAACAAGGCGAAAATGCAAACGTTAGTGGATACCGTAGAGATGTATCTGTTGTATCCAGGGATGTTTGGGCAACTTATAAGGCTCACGCGATAATGACATGTCTTTAGATGTTTGATATGCCGCGACATATTCACCAATGACTGTTACTGATTATTTTTAATGGATTAAACAAGTTTTAAGTTTGTGAAAATGTTGTGTTAGTGAGGGTATCCGGCTTGAAAACAATATTCTTGGGTATGTTGCTGAAATTTCATTTAAGTACGCTTTGGTTCATACAGACTGACAATGTCATTGATATCATGTCCTTGATGTGTGTCTCAGGCACTGTGTTTGACGAGGACATGCAGACCTGCAACTGGGCCAACGCCGTGAAGCCTCCATGCGGGACATATTCCCCCACAACTGCCAAGTCCTCCCAGTAACTTCTGTACGTGTGTCAGCAATAAACCACCTCTGTTCTGTACCTGCTTCTTACTTCTTGTTTCCTGCTTGCACGTGTGTGTGACTTCATGTATGCTTTGATCACTAATACAGTTATATCCCGGTGTTCAGTAGTACAGTTATATCCCGGTGTTCTGTAGTACAGTTATGTCCCGGTGTTCAGTAGTACAGTTATACCCCGGTGTTCAGTAGTACAGTTATATCCCGGTGTTCTGTAGTACAGTTATATCCCGGTGTTCTGTTGTACAGTTATATCCCGGTGTTCAGTAGTACAGTTATATAACGGTGTTCTGTAGTACAGTTATATCCCGGTGTTCTGTTGTACAGTTATATCCCGGTGTTCAGTAGTACAGGTATGTCCCGGTTTTGAGTAGTACAGTTATGTCCCGGTGTTCAGTAGTACAGTTATATCCCGGTGTTCTGTAGTACAGTTATATCCCGGTGTTCGGTAGTACAGTTATATCCCGGTGTTCAGTAGTACAGTTATATCCCGGTGTTCAGTAGTACAGTTATGTCCCGGTGTTCAGTAGTACAGTTATATCACGGTGTTCTGTAGTACAGTTATATCCCGGTGTTCAGTAGTACAGTTATGTCCCGGTGTTCTGTAGTACAGTTATATCACGGTGTTCTGTAGTACAGTTATATCACGGTGTTCAGTAGTACAGTTATATCCCGGTGTTCAGTAGTACAGTTATGTCCCGGTGTTCAGTAGTACAGTTATATCACGGTGTTCTGTAGTACAGTTATATCCCGGTGTTCAGTAATACAGATACACTCTCGAAGAGCCATAACATTTGGTTTGTTTGAACCGGTTTACAATGTTGCGTTTACAAGCAAGATAATGAAATTGCGTCGACTTGTGTGTGTCCCCATATTTCACTTCCGTTTAAACAAATAGGCTTTGTCTTTTGAAACAGGTCTTAAATGGGAACTGTCCACATTTTACGTAAGAATGTTCACTGAGGAATGTTAGCTATTAGTTGCAAGGTGAAGGGCAAATTGACGTAGGGACAGTGTTGGTGTTAGCATGATCACAAGTTTTTATAGCTTGCCACAGGCTCGATCTCTTTGCCGCTGTAAAATCATTTTTCACAACGTCTAAGGATTCCCCCTTTTCTAAAGACGACAACCTTTGTCTTCTGTAGGTTAACTGACAGGCCCCATGTTTCACAGAATGTAGACAGAATGTTGAGCTGATGCTGGAGACCGTCGACCCTGTCGGACATTAGGATTACGTCGTCAGCAAACAACAGCAGAAATAGTTCGTATAGATCTAGGTATAGCGAGTCCATTTATGAACAGAGAGAAAATGACCGGACTAAGAACACATCTTTGCTTGAGACCAACTGGATGATAAAAGACTTGAGTGCACGATCCTCCACTACATCGAACAGAAGCTGATACTCGTGAATACATAGATTCAATAATGTGAAGCATTTTCACTCCCAGGCTGCGGAAAACACGTGTATCCTCTAAGTAAGGCAATATATGCTTGAGTAATAATATTTGTAATTCTGGTATCATATAATCCAGACCAGATGATATTCCACTCTTTAATTTATATCTGTAACGCAAATCTCTGTATTTAATCAAAATGAGACTGGATCTTCGTAGTCCTGTATTTTCGCAATGCTTTCCAGGCTTCAACTTTGTTACAATGACATTCTCTATCATACCACGTGTTCTTGAATTTCCTCTTATTCATTTTTCGTGAATATATCAACAGATTGGTTAGTGTTGTTGTCAATTAGGTCTGTGGCATTATCTAGAGGAAGTATAAAATCTGGTGACATAAAAGGTATTTGAAATTGCTCTCATAAGCATTCGTTCGAAAACATCTGTGAAGGTCCAGGTTAGAATAGTGGCCTTCAGTAACCCATGCTTGTCGTAAGAGGCGACTAACGGGATCGGGTGGTCAGGCACGCTGACTTGGTTGACACATGTCATCGGTTCCCAATTGCGCAGATCGATACTCATGTTGTTGATCACTGGATTGTCCGGTCCAGACTCGATTATTTACATATAGCTGGAATATTGCTGAGTGCAGCGTAAAACTAACCTCACTCACTCACTCCTTCTAAAACACATCTGTGTTCGTTGTAAAACCAGACGGGTTATGTCCCTTTGATTGCTTGGTGCCGAGACTGGACTCTTGGCACAACTTCGACAGACTTGTCTATCGAGAACAAGTGTGTAGATATCAGACAATAGTCTGTGAGACTAGATCCATTGTGACATAGATATGTACACACACCGGTACTGGAGTCACTGCCACACCTGCCGCTCATCATGTGGATGTCCAGCGATATACATAAGTTAACCAAACTTTTTTCCAATGGATTAACTGCAAGGTCTTCTGACACACGTGGTATATCAAACGGATCTTCATTCTCATCCGTTATATCATCGGCAGTTCAATCCTGCAGATTTCCGGTCCGATCATTGAGATCGCCGCCAAGCATGATGACTACCTGGGAGGTGCAGTCCTGGAGGACGTCCAGAATATCACCAAATATGGTCATTCCGTTTTTGTCATCACATTTTAAAAATCAGTTTTAAAGAAAATGTATATACCCAGTGGTGTATAAAACACATTAAGGCATTTTCGTATCCAAAAAGAATGCCACCGAAGGTACCGACTACACTTGATGATCTTTTGGCCTTTAAAAACCAAACTCTGAAAAATCAATGTTCATAGCTGACCATGTCTCTATCATATAAAAAAAGTCATGGCTTTTCAAACAGTCATGTCAAGGTTGCATGAAATACACAACCCATGACATCAGCTACAGCATCGAACACTGTCTTGCAAACTAGAGAGGTACTCCGATATATATGACTGTAGTATAGTACCCAGCTATATATGACTGTAGTGTAGTACCCAGCTATATATGACTGAACTGTAGTACCAGGCTATATGTGACTGTAGCGTAGTACAGCTCTATATGACTGTAGTGTAGTACCCAGCTATATATGACTGTAGTGTAGTGGCCAGCTCTATATGACTGTAGTGTAGTACCCAGCTCTATATGACTGTAGTGTAGTACCCAGCTCTATATGACTGTAGTGTAGTACCCAGCTCTATATGACTGTAGTGTAGTACCCAGCTCTATATGACTGTAGTGTAGTACCCAGCTCTATATGACTGTAGTGTAGTACCCAGCAGTATATGACTGTAGTGTAGTACCCAAATCTATATGACTGTAGTGTAGTACCCAGCTCTATATGACTGTAGTGTAGTACCCAGCTCTATATGACTGTAGTGTAGTACAGCTATATATGACTGTAGTGTAGTACAGCTCTATATGACTGTAGTGTAGTACCCAGCTCTATATGACTGTAGTGTAGTACAGCTCTATATGACTGTAGTGTAGTACCCAGCTCTATATGACTGTAGTGTAGTACCCAGTTCTATATGACTGTAGCGTAGTACAGCTCTATATGACTGTAGCGTAGTACCCAGCTCTATATGACTGTAGTGTAGTACCCAGCTATATATGACTGTAGTGTAGTACCCAGCTCTATATGACTGTAGTGTAGTACTCAGCTCTATATGACTGTAGTGTAGTACCAAGCAGTATATGACTGTAGTGTAGTACCCAGCTCTATATGACTGTAGTATAGTACCCAGCTCTATATGACTGTAGTGTAGTACCCAGCTCTATATGACTGTAGTGTAGTACAGCTATATATGACTGTAGTGTAGTACAGCTCTATATGATTGTAGTGTAGTACCCAGCTATATATGACTGTAGTGTAGTACAGCTCTATATGACTGTAGTGTAGTACCCAGCTCTATACGACTGTAGTGTAGTACAGCTATATATGACTGTAGTGTAGTACCCAGCTCTATATGACTGTAGTGTAGTACCCAGCTCTATATGACTGTAGTGTAGTACCCAGCTCTATATGACTGTAGTGTAGTACCCAGCTCTATATGACTGTAGTGTAGTACCCAGCTCTATATGACTGTAGTGTAGTACCCAGCTCTATATGACTGTAGTGTAGTACCCAGCTCTATATGACTGTAGTGTAGTACCCAGCTCTATATGACTGTAGTGTAGTACCCAGCTCTATATGACTGTAGTGTAGTACCCAGCTCTATATGACTGTAGTGTAGTACCCAGCTCTATATGACTGTAGTGTAGTACCCAGCTCTATATGACTGTAGTGTAGTACCCAGCAGTATATGACTGTAGTGTAGTACCCAGCTCTATATGACTGTAGTGTAGTACCCAGCTCTATATGACTGTAGTGTAGTACCCAGCTCTATATGACTGTAGTGTAGTACCCAGCTCTATATGACTGTAGTGTAGTACCCAGCTCTATATGACTGTAGTGTAGTACCCAGCTCTATATGACTGTAGTGTAGTACCCAGCTCTATATGACTGTAGTGTAGTACTTAGATCTATTTGACTGTAGTGTAGTACCCAGCTCTATATGACTGTAGTGTAGTACCCAGCTCTATATGACTGTAGTGTAGTACCCAGCTCTATATGACTGTAGTGTAGTACCCAGCTCTATATGACTGTAGTGTAGTACCCAGCTCTATATGACTGTAGTGTAGTACCCAGCTCTATATGACTGTAGTGTAGTACAGCTCTATATGACTGTAGTGTAGTACAGCTCTATATGACTGTAGTGTAGTACCCAGCTCTATATGACTGTAGTGTAGTACCCAGCTCTATATGACTGTAGTGTAGTACCCAGCTCTATATGACTGTAGTGTAGTACCCAGCAGTATATGACTGTAGTGTAGTACCCAGCTCTATATGACTGTAGTATAGTACCCAGCTCTATATGACTGTAGTGTAGTACCCAGCTCTATATGACTGTAGTGTAGTACCCAGCTCTATATGACTGTAGTGTAGTACCCAGCTCTATATGACTGTAGTGTAGTACCCAGTTCTATATGACTGTAGTGTAGTACCCAGCTCTATATGACTGTAGTGTAGTACCCAGCTCTATAAGACTGTAGTGTAGTACAGCTATATATGACTGTAGTGTAGTACCCAGCTCTATATGACTGTAGTGTAGTACGCAGCAGTATATGACTGTAGTGTAGTACCCAGCTCTATATGACTGTAGTGTAGTACCCAGCTCTATATGACTGTAGTGTAGTACCGCAGCAGTATATGACTGTAGTGTAGTACCCAGATCTATATGACTGTAGTGTAGTACCCAGCTCTATATGACTGTAGTGTAGTACCCAGTATATATATATGACTGTAGTGTAGTACTGCAGCAGTATATGACTGTAGTGTAGTACCCAGTTCTATATGACTGTAGTGTAGTACCCAGCTCTATTTGACTGTAGTGTAGTACCCAGCTCTATATGACTGTAGTGTAGTACCCAGCTCTATATATGACTGTAGTGTAGTACGCAGCTCTATATGACTGTAGTGTAGTACCCAGATCTCATATGACTGTAGTGTAGTACAGCTCTATATGACTGTAGTGTAGTACCCAGCTCTATATTACTGTAGTGTAGTACCCAGCTCTATATGACTGTACCGTAGTACAGCTTTATATGACTGTAGTGTAGTACCCAGCTCTATATGACTGTAGTGTAGTACCCAGCTATATATGACTGTAGTATAGTACCCAGCTCTATATGACTGTAGTGTAGTACCCAGCAGTATATGACTGAAGTCTGGTACCCAGCTCTATATGACTGTAGTATAGTACCCAGCTCTATATGACTGTAGTGTAGTACAGCTATATATGACTGTAGTGTAGTAGTGCTCTATATGACTGTAGTGTAGTACCCAGCTCTATATGACTGTAGTGTAGTACCAGCTATATATGACTGTAGTGTAGTAGTGCTCTATATGACTGTAGTGTAGTACCCAGGTCTATACGACTGTAGTGTAGTACAGCTATATATGACTGTAGTGTAGTACCCAGCTCTATAAGACTGTAGTGTAGTACGCAGCAGTATATGACTGTAGTGTATTACCCAGATCTATATGACTGTAGTGTAGTACCCAGCTCTATATGACTGTAGTGTAGTACGCAGCAGTATATGACTGTAGTGTAGTACCCAGTTCTATGTGACTGTAGTGTAGTACCCAGCTCTATATGACTGTAGTGTAGTACCCAGCTATATATGACTGTAGTGTAGTACGCAGCAGTATATGACTGTAGTGTAGTACCCAGTTCTATGTGACTGTAGTGTAGTACCCAGCTCTATATGACTGTAGTGTAGTACCCAGCTCTATATGACTGTAGTGTAGTACCCAGCTCTATATGACTGTAGTGTAGTACCCAGCTATATATGACTGTAGTGTAGTACCCAGCTCTATATGACTGTAGTGTAGTACCCAGCAGTATATTACTGTAGTGTAGTACCCAGCTCTATATGACTGTAGTGTAGTACCCAGCTCTATATGACTGTAGTGTAGTACCCAGCTCTATATGACTGTAGTGTAGTACCAGCTCTATATGACTCTAGTGTAGTACCCAGACTATGAGTAGTGTAGTACCCAGCTCTATATGACTGTAGTGTAGTACCCAGCAGTATATGACTGTAGTGTAGTACCCATCTCTATATGACTGTAGTGTAGTACCCAGCAGTATATGACTGTAGTGTAGTACCCAGCTCTATATGACTGTAATATAGTACCCAGCTCTATATGACTGTAGTGTAGTACCCAGCTATATATGACTCTAGTGTAGTACAGCTATATATGACTGTAGTGTAGTACAGCTCTATATGACTGTAGTGTAGTACCCACTTCTATATGACTGTAGTGTAGTAGTGCTCTATATGACTGTAGTGTAGTACCCAGCTCTATACGACTGTAGTGTAGTACAGCTATATATGACTGTAGTGTAGTACCCAGCTCTATAAGACTGTAGTGTAGTACCCAGCAGTATATGACTGTAGTGTAGTACCCAGATCTATATGACTGTAGTGTAGTACCCAGTTCTATATGACTGTAGTGTAGTACGCAGCAGTATATGACTGTAGTGTAGTACCCAGTTCTATGTGACTGTAGTGTAGTACCCAGCTCTATATGACTGTAGTGTACTAACCAGCTATATATGACTGTAGTGTAGTACGCAGCAGTATATGACTGTAGTGTAGTACCCAGTTCTATGTGACTGTAGTGTAGTACCCAGCTCTATATGACTGTAGTGTAGTACCCAGCTATATATGACTGTAGTGTAGTACCCAGCTCTATATGACTGTAGTGTAGTACCCAGCAGTATATTACTGTACTGTAGTACCCAGATCTATATGACTGTAGTGTAGTACCCAGCTCTATATGACTGTAGTGTAGTACCCAGCAGTATATGACTGTAGTGTAGTACCCAGCTCTATATGACTGTAGTGTAGTACCCAGCTATATATGACTGTAGTGTAGTACCCAGATCTATATGACTGTAGTGTAGTACCCAGCTCTATATGACTGTAGTGTAGTACCCAGCTCTATATGACTGTAGTGTAGTTCCCAGATCTATGTGACTGTAGTGTAGTACCCAGCTCTATATGACTGTAGTTTAGTACACAGCTTTAGTATTTAGGGAAAGATAAACCTTAAACTCCCTTTCACGTTATCACTGTATTAATGTATTCTGTGCCAGACTTACGAATATACGACGTTGACCGCAGAAATAAAAGAGGAAACAGTTGTGTCCTCACTGCAGTCCTTTCCACCAAGTGTTGAAGGTAAACAAACACCGGAAGTGCCTAATCCATGTTTGTCTCGTTATTTACTTCCAAGTTGCCATGGCGAAGCAGATACTCAATGCAAACAGAAAACGACTCATGCAGTGTAAGGGATTAGTGAAAGATTCGTCAGTGTTCCACCGATTCCCCGGCCTGGATCACAGACCTCAGACAGAACTGGCGGAAGGACGTGAAGATTTGAACCTGGAAAATACATCAGCATGAACAGGATAGTAGTGATGTTGGTTGGCGCTCTGCTGGCAATGTTGGCGCTAGGTAAGTAGGTAGACATGATAGTAGTGGTGTTGGTTGGCGCTCTGCTGGCAATGTTGGCGCTAGGTAAGTAGGTAGACATGATAGTAGTGGTGTTGGTTGGCGCTCTGCTGGCAATGTTGGCGCTAGGTAAGTAGGCAGACCTGATAGTACTGATGTTGGTTGGCGCTCTGCTGGCAATGTTGGCGCTAGGTAAGTAGGTAGACATGATAGTAGTGATGTTGGTTGGCGCTCTGCTGGCAATGTTGGCGCTAGGTAAGTAGGTAGACATGATAGTAGTGGTGTTTGTTGGCGCTCTGCTGGCAATGTTGGCGCTAGGTAAGTAGGCAGACCTGATAGTAGTGGTGTTGGTTGGCGCACTGCTGGCAATATTGGCGCTAGGTAAGTAGGCAGACCTGATAGTAGTGTTGTTGGCTAGCTCACTGCTGGCAATGTTGGCGCTAGGTAAGTAGGCAGACCTGATAGTAGTGGTGTTGGTTGGCGCACTGCTGGCAATGTTGGCGCTAGGTAAGTAGGCAGACCTGATAGTAGTGTTGTTGGCTAGCTCACTGCTGGCAATGTTGGCGCTAGGTAAGTAGGCAGACCTGATAGTAGTGGTGTTGGTTGGCGCACTGCTGGCAATGTTGGCGCTAGGTAAGTAGGCAGACCTGATAGTAGTGTTGTTGGCTAACTCACTGCTGGCAATGTTGGCGCTAGGTAAGAAGGCAGACCTGATAGTAGTGGTGTTGGTTGGCGCTCTGCTGGCAATGTTGGCGCTAGGTAAGAAGGCAGACCTGATAGTAGTGGTGTTGGTTGGCGCACTGCTGGCAATGTTGGCGCTGTCGGTGTTTATTGGCGCTGTATTGTGACTACAAGTCTGTGTTTATTGGTGCTGTATTGTGACTACAAGTATGTGTTTACTATTGCTGTATTGTGAGTACAAGTCAGTGTTTATTGATGCAGTATTGCGACTTCATTTCAGTGTTTACTGGTGCAGTATTGTGACTACATGTCAGTGTTTACTGCTGGAGTATTGTGACTACAAGTATGTGTTTACTGGTGCAGTATTGTGACTACATGTCAGAGTTTAATGGTGCAGTATTGTGACTAGAAGTCTGTGTTTACTGTTTCTGTATTGTGACTACATGTCAGTGTTTACTGGTGCAGTATTGTGACTACATGTCAGTGTTAACTGGTGCAGTATTGTGACTGCATGTCTGTTTTTACTGTTTTTGTATTGTGACTACAGGTCTGTGTTTACTGGTGCAGTATTATGACTACATGTCAGAGTTTACTGGTGCAGTATTGTGACTAGAAGTCTGTGTTTACTGTTTCTGTATTGTGACTACATGTCAGTGTTTACTGGTGCAGTATTGTGACTACATGTCTGTGTTTACTGTTTCTGTATTGTGACTACATGTCAGTGTTTACTGGTGCTGTATTGTGACTGCATGTCAGTGTTTACTGGTGCAGTATTGTGACTACATGTCTGTGTTTACTGTTTCTGTATTGTGACTACATGTCAGTGTTTACTGGTGCTGTATTGTGACTGCATGTCAGTGTTTACTGGTGCAGTATTGTGACTACATGTCTGTGTTTACTGTTTCTGTATTGTGACTACATGTCAGTGTTTACTGGTGCTGTATTGTGACTGCATGTCAGTGTTTACTGGTGCAGTATTGTGACTACATGTCAGTGTTTACTGTTTCTGTATTGTGACTACATGTCAGTGTTTACTGGTGCAGTATTGTGACTACATGTCAGTGTTTACTGGTGCAGTATTGTGACTACATGTCTGTTTACTGTTTCTGTATTGTGACTACATGTCTGTGTTTACTGTTTCTGTATTGTGACTACATGTCAGTCTTTACTGGTGCTGTATTGTGACTACATGTCAGTGTTTACTGGTGCTGTATTGTGACTTCAAGTCAGTGTTTACTGGTGCAGTATTGTGACTACAAGGCAGTGTTTACTGGTGCTGTATTGTGACTACATGTATGTGTTTACTGGTGCAGTATTTTGACTTCAAGTCAGTGTTTACTGGTGCAGTATTGTGACTACAAGTCTGTGTTTACTGTTGCAGTATTATGACTAGAATTAGTGTTTAATGGTGCTGAATTGTGACTGCATGTCAGTATTCACAGGTGCAGTATTGTGACTACATATCTGTATATACTGGTGCAGTATTGTGACTACAAGTCTGTGTTTACTGTTGCTGTATTATGACTACAAGTATGTGTTTACTGTTGCTGTATTGTGAGTACAAGTCAGTGATAATTGATGCAGTATTGTGACTTCATGTCAGTGTTTACTGGTGCAGTATTGTGACTACATGTCAGTGTTTACTGGTGGAGTATTGTGACTACAAGTATGTGTTTACTGGTGCAGTATTGTGACTACATGTCAGAGTTTACTGGTGCTGTATTGTGACAACATGTCAGAGTTTACTGTTGCAGTATTGTGACTACATGTCTGTGTTTACTGTTTTTGTATTGTGACTACATGTCAGTGTTTACTGTTGCTGTATTGTGAGTACATGTGAGTGTTTACTGTTGCTGTATTGTGACTACAAGTCAGTGTTTGCTTGTGCTGTATTGTGACTACATGTCAGAGTTTACTGGTCCTTTATTGTGACTACAGGTCTGTGTTTACTGGTGCAGTATTGTGACTACATGTCAGTGTTTACTGGTGCAGTATTGTGACTACATGTCAGAGTTTAATGGTGCTGTATTGTGACTACAGGTCTGTGTTTACTGTTGCTCTATTGTGACTACATGTCAGAGTTTACTGGTGCTGTATTGTGACTAGAAGTCTGTGTTTACTGTTTCTATATTGTGACTACATGTCAGTGTTTACTGGTGCAGCATTGTGACTACATGTCTGTGTTTACTGTTTCTGTATTGTGACTACATGTCAGTGTTTACTGGTGCAGTATTGTGACTACATGTCAGTGTTTATTGGTGCTGTATTGTGACTACAAGTATGTGTTTACTATTGCTGTATTGTGAGTACAAGTCAGTGTTTATTGATGCAGTATTGCGACTTCATTTCAGTGTTTACTGGTGCAGTATTGTGACTACATGTCAGTGTTTACTGGTGGAGTATTGTGACTACAAGTATGTGTTTACTGGTGCAGTATTGTGACTACATGTCAGAGTTTACTGGTGCAGTATTGTGACTAGAAGTCTGTGTTTACTGTTTCTGTATTGTGACTACATGTCAGTGTTTACTGGTGCAGTATTGTGACTACATGTCAGTGTTAACTGGTGCAGTATTGTGACTACATGTCTGTTTTACTGTTTTTGTATTGTGACTACAGGTCTGTGTTTACTGGTGCAGTATTATGACTACATGTCAGAGTTTACTGGTGCAGTATTGTGACTACAAGTCTGTGTTTACTGTTTCTGTATTGTGACTACATGTCAGTGTTTACTGGTGCAGTATTGTGACTACATGTCTGTGTTTACTGTTTCTGTATTGTGACTACATGTCAGTGTTTACTGGTGCTGTATTGTGACTGCATGTCAGTGTTTACTGGTGCAGTATTGTGACTACATGTCTGTGTTTACTGTTTCTGTATTGTGACTACATGTCAGTGTTTACTGGTGCTGTATTGTGACTACATGTCAGTGTTTACTGGTGCAGTATTGTGACTAGAAGTCTGTGTTTACTGTTTCTGTATTGTGACTACATGTCAGTGTTTACTGGTGCTGTATTGTGACTGCATGTCAGTGTTTACTGGTGCAGTATTGTGACTACATGTCAGTGTTTACTGTTTCTGTATTGTGACTACATGTCAGTGTTTACTGGTGCAGTATTGTGACTACATGTCAGTGTTTACTGGTGCAGTATTGTGACTACATGTCTGTTTACTGTTTCTGTATTGTGACTACATGTCTGTGTTTACTGTTTCTGTATTGTGACTACATGTCAGTCTTTACTGGTGCTGTATTGTGACTACATGTCAGTGTTTACTGGTGCTGTATTGTGACTTCAAGTCAGTGTTTACTGGTGCAGTATTGTGACTACAAGGCAGTGTTTACTGGTGCTGTATTGTGACTACATGTATGTGTTTACTGGTGCAGTATTTTGACTTCAAGTCAGTGTTTACTGGTGCAGTATTGTGACTACAAGTCTGTGTTTACTGTTGCAGTATTATGACTAGAATTAGTGTTTAATGGTGCTGAATTGTGACTGCATGTCAGTATTCACAGGTGCAGTATTGTGACTACATATCTGTATATACTGGTGCTGTATTGTGACAACATGTCAGAGTTTACTGTTGCAGTATTGTGACTACATGTCTGTGTTTACTGTTTTTGTATTGTGACTACATGTCAGTGTTTACTGTTGCTGTATTGTGAGTACATGTGAGTGTTTACTGTTGCTGTATTGTGACTACAAGTCAGTGTTTGCTTGTGCTGTATTGTGACTACATGTCAGAGTTTACTGGTCCTTTATTGTGACTACAGGTCTGTGTTTACTGGTGCAGTATTGTGACTACATGTCAGTGTTTACTGGTGCAGTATTGTGACTACATGTCAGAGTTTAATGGTGCTGTATTGTGACTACAGGTCTGTGTTTACTGTTGCTCTATTGTGACTACATGTCAGAGTTTACTGGTGCTGTATTGTGACTAGAAGTCTGTGTTTACTGTTTCTATATTGTGACTACATGTCAGTGTTTACTGGTGCAGCATTGTGACTACATGTCTGTGTTTACTGTTTCTGTATTGTGACTACATGTCAGTGTTTACTGGTGCAGTATTGTGACTACATGTCAGTGTTTACTGTGCAGTATTGTGACTACATGTCTGTGTTTACTGTTTCTGTATTGTGACTACATGTCAGTGTTTACTGTTTCTGTATTGTGACTACATGTCAGTGCTTACTGGTGCTGTATTGTGACATCAAGTCAGTGTTTACTTGTGCAGTATTGTGACTACAAGGCAGTGTTTACTGGTGCTGTATTGTGACTACATGTCAGTGTTTACTGGTGCAGTATTGTGACTTCAAGTCAGTGTTTACTGGTGCAGTATTGTGACTACAAGTCAGTGTTTACTGGTGCAGTATTGTGACTACATGTCAGTGTTTACTGGTGCAGTATTGTGACTACATTTCTGTGTATACTGGTGCTGTATTGTCACTACAAGTCTGTGTTTACTGTTGCTCTATTATGACTACGGTTAGTGTTTAATGGTGCTGTATTGTGACTGCATGTCAGTATTCACAGGTGCAGTATTGTGACTACATATCTGTATATACTGGTGCAGTATTGTGACTACAAGTCTGTGTTTACTGTTGCTGTATTATGACTACAAGTCTGTGTTTACTGGTGCAGTATTGTGACTACAAGTCTGTGTTTAATAGTGATATATTGTTACTTCATGTCAGTGTTTACTGGTGCTGTATTGTGACTACAAGGCAGTGTTTACTGGTGCTGTATTGTGACTACAAGTCAGTGTTTATTGGTGCAGTATTGTGACTACATATCTTTGTTTACTGGTGCAGTATTGTGACTACATGTCAGTGTTTACTTTTGCTGTAGTGTAACTAGAAGTCTGTGTTTAATAGTGCTGTATTGTGACTTCTTGTCAGTGTTTACTGGTGCTGTATTGTGACTTCAAGTCAGTGTTTACTGGTGCTGTATTGTGACTACATATCAGAGTTTACTGGTGCAGTATTGTGACTACAAGTCTGTGTTTACTGGTGCTGTATTGTGACTAGTCAAGTCTGTGACTACAAGTCTGTGTTTACTGGTGCAGTATTGTGACTACATGT